GAACGTCCGTAACTATACCGTTATAATCCGGACTCGCAAACAGCTTTCGTCGATACGTTCGTATCAATAAGTAGTACGAGGATATGCTAAAAGAATAAGTCCCACATCTCTCGAGTCGATGGTCAACGGAAGTCAAAGTCCTTGCCTCTAGGGCAATTTTGTAAATTCACGCTTTTAAAATAAAATAAAAACGTAAAATTTGGAACGGGTTGTCACAATTAATTTGTCATCTCTCTTTAACTCTGTTAAGTTTTCCATCTAATATAAGTCATGTGCCTCACACATGACTTTGTTTAGAGTTATTTCGGTCATTTTAAAACCTTACTTCCATTTTTTTTAAGTTTCTTCTAGATATTCCAAATATGTAATGATACACAAGTGAAAGTTTGCATTTTAGCATGTTACAAACACATAATTTCATACGAGCTCTTTAAATGAGAAATAAGTTGACGTTTTGTGCCATAAATTAAGTTGTAGATGCATATGCGCTAAAGAAAAGTAAAAAGTTTAAGTGCTTGTACAAAAGAAAAGAAACAAACTTGTGAAAATATGTTAAAATGACCTAAATAGCTCCGAACACAAGTCATGTGAGAGGCACAACTACTTCCCTTTATTTCTCCTCCATCTTCTTCATCTTCTGGTGGCAGATTTGCTATTATTAATGGTGAAAAATTGAAATTTTGGATTGGTGGTGGGCCTAACTACTCCTAACCAACTATTTGCAAATTGCCTCTGTTTTTTATTATATGGGAGACAAATTTTTGTTTGTTTTTCATTTCAGTGCTTCAATTCTTGGCTATGATTTTTTATGCATTGGACATGGACATGTGAAGAGGAGAAATTTGTCTACACAGTACGAATACATCATTACGCTTATGTTTGCGACAAAATCATAAATATATGTGTATATTTTTATAAACAGTGTCGTTAAATTTCATAACAATGTATAAAGTTTCATAAACAGTGTTGTAAGTTTTCATAAATAGTGGAAAAAGTTTCATAAATAGTGGAGAAAGTTTCATAAACAGTTTGAGGATTTGCATGGATCCGCGCGTTAGATTTATTTTTAAATTTTTTTAATATTATAATTATGTCATTTTCATTAAAATTTAAGTTCTTTTGTCCTTTTTATTAAAATTTAAGTCTTTTTAATTAAATAAAGTTATAGCATGGTTTTTTTGTGACATCCCACATCACCCAGGGGAGTGGATCCTGTAAGCCTTATATGTATATTCTCATTTTTACCTAGCACGAGGCCTTTTGGGAGCTCACTGGCTTGGGGTTCCATCGGAACTCCGAAGTTAAGCGGGTTCGAGCGAGAGCAATCCCATGATGGGTGACCCACTGGGAAGTTCTCGTGTGAGTTCCCAAAAACAAAACCGTGAAGGTGTGGTCGGGGCCCAAAGCGAGCAATATCGTGCAACAGTGGAGTCGAGCTCGGGATGTGACAATTTTTATTAAAATAAACTTAGTTCAAGCCCTTTTCATGAATGTTCCCAAATATCTAACCCTAGAGAATCTTCTAAAGATATCCCAAATATACTAGGATTTACACAATCACAATCTTAATCTAATAGGACTGCAACATTATTGTATTATTATTCTATATAAATTTCAAAAAAATTAATTTTGAGTTATTTTTATAGTATACTATAGGCAAAGAGTGAGATTAAAAAATTATAAAACATTAAAAATAAAAACATCAAGTAATTTAAAAATACTAGACACGTTAAAAAGAATATAATAATTAACTTACAAGTGCAAAAACTGTGAAAAAAAATGCAAACGCTCGTGATCGCATCCTCTACGCTTTGAGGATGGGTACATCGTCGTTTGAATTTTTAAAGCCATACAAACCCTCATGAATAGTATTTTTAAGGGAGTTCAAAATAAACCAATATCATTTGCCTTAGTGATTAATGAAAATTGAAGGGTTTTATTGTCAAAAACATGCAAGGTTTCCTCAACCTTGAAACCCAACACCTTTGATTTTGCATATCTTTAAACATTTGGTATTTTGTAGTAATGTACTAATGTTTTTTCATTAGACTCTTATTTTGGGGTATGTAATACTTAAAAGACAAATGTTGTTTTATGTTTTAAAGTAATATTTATGTGACAAATTATTATGTTTTCAAATTTTTGGGGGTCAAATTATGTTTTTCATTTTTATTATTTATTGATTTACTTAACGGATAACGGGTCGGGTCATCTTACCTGATAATATTAACGGGTCAATTTCGAGTCGGGTCAAATTATCCGTTTACTTTAATGGGTGTTACACGACACGACCCATTAAGATATTGGATATGTCAGGAAAACGACATGAACATTAAAAACATGACACGAATGCCAGGTCTAAGTTTTCCTTACAATTAGAGTCAAGGTCGATTGAGGTCTTATTAGGACTTAGAACTTGCAAACCACTATATTACAGCTTGAACTTGCCGATTCTAGCAACAGGTAATTAAAAGGACACACTTGCAATGCAATATTAATTAGGGAAAACTAATGATAAGGGCTTGAAAACTTTGAATGTTAACCAAAAACTATGTAATAACTTTATTTAATGGTTAGGACAAATCCCAATATTGAATCAGTCCAATTAAAATGGCCCAAACATTGAATTTCCAATTTTACATTTAAATCCTTCAACACTTAGCGCGCCCAACCCCATTTAACAATTCTCTTTGCTTTTAGATCTCTCTGCTATTCTCTGCCTCCATAACCTCAAATCCTTTTATACTCGGCGTGCCCACACTCATCCATACGCATGCAGAGTTAAAGAGATGGTATGCTTCTGAAATTTTTCCTCACTTGCTATCAATGGTACGCTTCTAAAATTTTTTCTTGTAAATTTCAATTCTTTCTTGGAATTTGACTTATGCTTTTTCTTTTGGGTCACTTGGGTTGAGTGGCATGAGTAATTTTGTACCCTTAATTGCTTCTTTCCCTGATCTGGGGGCTTTGTTTATGATTCATACTTTTGTAGAGCTTTAAGAGGAAGTGAGTGAGTGACTAAGTGAGGAGAGGGATAGCTTTGTTATTGGAGAAGGAAGATTATTACTGTTACTAGTTGATGATTTTGCTTGATTTGGTGATGAGAAAATGATGGGTTTTGTGGTGGTGGTGGTGGAGGAGAAGAAGGAAGGTGGGGCTTCTCAATTTTGACTTTTGACCATAGAAAAAAGAGATGAAATGAAGTAGGAAAATTAGGGGAGGAGGAAGGAAAAAGAGATCCCCTTTGGATCTTTATCAATTAATTCCAAATCAGAAAAAGGCTTAGCATGATAGTAACAAAATAATTCACACTATTTCTGAACTGAACCAAAATAATTTACATTATTTCTGAAGTGAAAAATAAACACTATTTATGAATCTACAGCAAAAATTACACATTATTTGTGAAAATGAATCAAACTCAATACATTATTTTTAGAACTACAGAGAATAACCCACACTATTTCTGAAATTGAACTAAAATATCACACACTATTTATGGAACTACAACAAAATAACCATAGACTATTTCTAAAGCTATAGCAAAATAACTCACACTATTTTTGAAACTTAACCAAAATAATCCACATTATTTCTGGAACTATAACAAAATAATCCACACTATTAATGAAACTATAACAAAATAACCACACTATTTCTGAAACTTAACCAAAATAATCCACACTAATTCTGGAACTACAGCAAAATAACAACACTATTTCTGAAACTTAACCAAAATAATCCACATTATTTCTGGAATTTTACCAAAATAACTCAGACTATGTCTAGAACTACGGCAAAATAACCACACTATTTTTTAAACTTAACCAAAATAATCTACATTATTTCTAGAATTACAACAAAATAACCCACACTATTTTTGGAAAAACAACAAAATAACCGCCCTATTTCTGAAACTTAAGCAAAATCACCCACATTATTTCTAAAACTAAACCAAAATAATTCATACTATTTCTGAAACTACATTAAAATAACTCACAATACTTATGATCGGTCACTAAAATGCTTCGGGGATCAAATTCCATCTTCCTTGTAAAATCGGGCCCAATTATCTCAAATTCCATCTTCCTTAATGGTGGTGATGAAAACGGCTGTATGACTTGAATGCTCTGCCTTAATGGCAGTTAAAGAATTTGTACTAGTTCAAAGTTACTGTTTGATGAAAGCAATTGGTGCTCCGCCTTAATGGCGGTGAGATTTATATGGTACATCTTAATATTTGTGAATTGGCTAAGGGATTGGTTTAGGCTCTGTTAGGGGTAATTGTAGAAAAAAACAATTTTATTGCGGGCTAGGCTTCACTTCGGCCCATGTTTTTAATGTTTGTATGGCTATTTTATGAATAGTTTTGTTTTTATGATTAAATATCAAGTCCTTTTGATTAAATAAAAGTTTATGATGGTTTTTGGTTAAAAAAAAGTTGGTCCAAACTTTTTTTATTAAAGCTCCCTATTAATTAACTAGGATAGTTGGCATTCAAACATACAACAAAAAAGGTAAAATACCTAAATCACTAATTCACTATGCATGCTTTATTTTAGAACGCAGTATAATTTAAACTGTAAGATGAACGATGAACATATACTTGAATCAACGTATAAGAGCCTAAAGATGAAATGATGTTGATTCATCAGGCTTAGAGATAAAACAAACTCTAGTTGAAGAATCTAAATGAAAACTGATGTGATATCCAAGTGGTAAATGCGATAATGTTTATATATATCTCAACATATCTTTTTTGTAGGTTAAATGACTTGCTGAGTATCTTCCTTTGGACTTTCTTAACTAGGGAAATTGTGTAGCTAGTGTTGCTCGGATGATTAGTCCTTAAACGTCTACTTTTCGGCTTAACTACATAAAAGGAAAGTACGTAAAAATATAGCTTTCTTAATTAGGGAAATTGTGAAGCTATAGTTGCTTGGATGATTAGTTATTAACTTGTTACAAGTACTTTGTTACATAATGCACACCATTACATGTGCTGCCAAAGTCGTAATTTTATTTAAAGCAAAACGATAGCTTTATATCAATGATTAAGCAATACAATATAAAACAGCCCGGATGATATCCGGTAGCTGGCCAACGGATGTGCCACGACATTATTGCATCACAAACCTATTGTTCGTATACTTTATTGTAAAAACTAGTAGCGAAGGAAACATATATATGCTTCAATCAAGGGCAGAAGACAACCTTGTAGTTGGTTCCAGTAGGACATGTAAATGTACTGGTTGGGTCATCCTTAGGGTAACTATAAGCATCTGGGCACCGACTCTTAAAAAACCTAGAGAAGTCTGTAGGGCCACAATTTCCAGAATTGCAACAATATTCATCAGTCTTGAACACGGTGCAAGGATTGTTGCACCCTCCTGGAGCCTTCAGTTGGTCAGGGCACTGCCCGTTAATATCAGCCGTGCACCTAATCCCCTTAGTGCACCCACCAGACGTGGGACTAAAGTCCATAGGTACATTAAACCCATCAACAAGAGAAATGTCAAAGAAATCCAAGTTGTTATATTGATTAAGGGCATATTCAGCTAGGGTGTTTGGTGGTTGACCATAGCCTTGGCATTCGAGGACACCCCCACAATCACCTGTTTGGCATTGGCCACGTCCTGCTCCATCGAAGTTGCATCCCGTCCGAGCCCAAATGCGAGCCCCTGTGGTACCGGCACTCACATCTATGGCCCAGGATTGGCCTCCGTCGAGCTGGCGGCCACCACCTGGCACAGCAGCTGCCCATACAGTGTAGGGACAATTGTTTTGAATGTCAAATCGAGCTGCATTAGTTGATGCAAAGAAAAGAATGGCACATAGGATGGAGAAAAGTAAGAGGCTTTTAAGGAGGCTCATTGTGGGAGCTAAGCGATACCAAAATTTGTAGATTGGTTTTTGTGTTGTTGTGTTTTAAATTCTAAGGTGGGTCATGAAGTTAAATAGAGGATTGGTAGTACTTACGTTCCTCACCAAATTCAACATTTCCGCCTAAATTATAGGCGGCCCGATTCTTCTAGTTTCCACAAGAAAAAAAAGTAAGAGAGACTTTTCAAAGAAATGATAAAATATCTCCACTTTTCTCGTCTACGCAATATCGTTTTAGCATTACTTACTTTTTTATTGAATAAATCAAGGAAGAAGTTATGCATAAAAATTAAAAGGAATGAGTAGAAAAAGAGTGCATTTTTGCTCATTATTCATTGAGGGTTGGTAATGGTTCATGTCCTATTTATTACTATTGAATGAGTTTAAATTTTTAGATTTATGCTATCTACTATAAATTTCTAAATTTAAATTCATCCAGTAGTAATAAATAGGTTGATGAACATCATTGTCACTTGATTGTTATAAGCAAAAATATTTCCTTTGTTTTGGTAAAATAAATCAATGGCATACGAGCACTTGATTGTGCAATAGTTTCTTCAATGAAAATGCTACTACATAATGAGTAATGACGAGAAAAAGATATGTTCAAAATTAACGCATAAAATGTAGCTAAACCTATCCAGTTCATAACAGTTTGAATAAGATAATACTAGGTAGATCAAATTTTTAAACTAAATTTACAAATTAAATGATGTGTCACCAATAGAAAATAAACATGTTAACCAACACTTGATTAATAATCCAATCATCAACAACTACAACGTTTAGTTTAACAAGTTTGGTTTAAAAATTTGGTCTACCTAGCATTACATGTTGAAATATATACACCTATTCCTTACAGATTAAAGAGAATTTAGTTAAATTTTAATTACAAGGTTCTAAGTTCACACTATTAGTTTCAGTTACAATATTCTTATTGGGATGTGCTATCCACATACCTTTTTTTACTTCTCACACACCTCTTGTTAATTTTTGTCCGTTGATTTTCTTCAATTCATCTGATCCGACGGCCGAAACAAAAAATGTGTGTCCATTGATTTTCTTCAATTCATCTGATCCAACGGCCGAAACAAAAAAATGTGTGGGAGAAGTAAAAAAGAGTGCGTGAATATCACATCTCTTCTTATTTGATGGTGTTTGGGATCAACTATTGCTAGTTTTAGGAAACTTTTGACGCTCTCACCAAAATCTTAGATTGAAATCTTATTAATTTGAATACTTTGATTAAAAGATAAATATTAAATTTCAGTATTAATTAATAATTTTTAACTTAAAATAATTTCATAGATTGTCACAAAATAACTAATTATTTCATAAAGAAATACACAAACAACTTTGTTTTAGAGGGACAAAATTTGTCCACATATTCACACAGGAGACCCATCAGCTAAATCAATTCACAAAATTTGTGGAAACGCACGCGCCCCATAACCTCTAGAAGGACCACGTGCAGGCCCACGATATTTTAAAAAATAATAATAAAATGCAGTGTACAACATCAATTTGTCAACCATCAAATTAAGTGAGCTTCGATTCATCTAACCCGTCACTCCACCACCCCCAAACTGGTTTGGGGTTTGTTCCTGGGCCCAAGAGGAGCCTTTTGGTGGTGGTGATCGAAGGGAACACTTCAGAAATGGTGGATCACCGATGAAGGACCATTGCACCCACCGGTGCGATTCTTCATGAAACTGAGGCCAAATTGACTCGGGTTTTGGATGAAAATGGCAAAGGGAGGGATGCTAGGTCCACTCTAGGTGGTGAGTGGGTGCTAGGTCCACTGAGGCCAAATTGACTCTAGGTGGTGGGTCGGGTAGCGGGTCAAAGGGAAGGAACTCAGTCAGCCGGTTCTTCATTTCTCCCACTTCCCTCCTTTTTCTCCTCTCTCATTGGGTAGCCACTCCCTTCTTCCCTCATTTCTCCTCTCATCTCTCCATCCTAGCCATACACATGGCACCCAGATCACTACTCCAGCAAATCTGGAGCCTTCCAAATTAATGGTCAAATCACCATTTTACCCTTACCTTTGTCCGTTTATATCTCCTTCGTTATAACTCCGTTTCACAAATGGTTTTCGCCTACGTGCTCGTGGGATCGAGCTCTATCCAAATATGCCAAGAAATACAAGGAAGCATATAAGGATAAAATATGTCCTCGTATAATTATGTTTACCCAACTATGGGCATTTTTGCCTTTTTAACTTATCAAACAAGTATACTCCGTAACATAAATGTGTCGTAACCACAAATACGACCACAAAATACTTAATTTAATAATAAAATCTAGGAATAAGATTTCACCTTTCCCCACTTGAATTTCATAACCATAAATCGATTTATTTTCCGATTTCCTCCCCATATTCCTAAACATGAATATCTAATTCATCTATCTAAAATTTTTCAAGGTATTACATTCGACCCCCATTAAAATAAATCTCGTCCCCGAGATTTAAACCACTGAATAATGGAAAGGGATTTAAAATCCATCCCACCATTTCATTTATATCGAACAAAATCATGACCTCAGTCTATGATTTTGTTCAAGCTTGAAAATAAATCAATAAATAAATCCGCATGGGTTTCACACATATTCAAATTTCCAGCCACAATTATTGGAATTTCCAACCACAATCAACATTGCCTATACCAATATCAAAATTTTCAACCATAATCACCAAGGGCAAAACCAATACCATAATTTATGGCCATAATCAACATTGGCAAAACAAATATAAGAGATTTTAACAATAAATATCATTGGCTAAACCACTTACCATCATTGGCTATACATAGCTGTTACCATGATTCACTCTCAAAACTGGTGTATAGAATAATCCAACTTGATGACCGATCCCGTGGCCGATTATCCTCACTGCAATTTTACAACAACATGAAGTAGGGTAACGAGAATGTCCATTTACTTCCTACACCACAGATCCAATTACCCTCCCTAAGGACTATGGCAAGTTCATCTGTGTAGGCCTCTAGAGGTTTAGGGGATCGAAACCCAAGGTAGCACACAGTGCCCCTCACTCACTCTTAGTGCCACTCAATCTAGGAGTGTCCATTTCACTAGCTATACCACATAGACTATCCTGCAGGAGTAGCCCGTCCGTATAACACCCTCTGAAGGTTTAGAGGATCGAAACCCAGGGGAACCACACAGTCCCTTTCACTCTCAGGTCATCAAAATCATCCATGAACGTTACACTTACAACCACACAAGTGAGTGATTCACAATATATATATATATGTATGTATGTATGTATGTATATGTATATACATTTCACATAAATGCCTCATTATTCGTAAAATTTAATAAATAATGCAATAACATTGCAATTATATTTCAAACCATCAAGCGCAAGAATATATTTGCATTCACTCTCCTGCCAGTGAGAGATTCACAATACATATGTTTTTCACATAAATGCCACTTTAATCATAGGATTTATGAAATAATGCAATATCAATGCAAATCATAATTAGCATCAACAAAACTCAATAATATCACATATTGTAAAGTAAGATCGTTTGCTCTGATACCAATTTGTAACAAACCAAAATTATAGAAAAATTATTTGGAAGCAAAATCTAGTGGTAGATCAAAAACAATGTCATGGTTAATTAATACTCTATAAACCACAATAAATTTAATTCAGTCATTTTATGATTGCATCTAACTTTATTGTTAAACTGCCTACGTATCCTCATTTAAATTGAAAAACCTCCAGTACATCTAGTTCCCTATAATCGAATAACAAAGCATAATAAGCTTTTTCCGGAATACAAGAATTCCATATATGTAAATTTTCTAAATTCTTAACAATCGTATCTAAAGCATCAGCTATGGGGTTAACTTCCCTATAAACATCAGAACAATCGGACTTCAGGAAATGAAGCTACGAGCCATTTAACATCCTCCAGTGTGGATATTCCAAGGAGTTAGCCGTAAGTATATATACAAAATATTACGTTTCTAACGCTAAATAGATTTATTTAAATAATTTTTAATTATAAAATTTAATATACTGACATGTAAATATTTTATTATTGAAACAATGATGTAAATTAAAAATTAAAAAAGATTAAAATTCAATTAATGAAATAGAAAAATGAAGTATTGAAACTAGTTTATCATTACACAAGTTAACTTCCAAAATATATTGAAAGATATTAACCGGATGGTAATGCTGACCGTGAAAAAAATGCACCCAAGAAAACGTAAGAATGGTCTCAACCATTATTGTAAGGTCTTATAAGACTACCAAGTCAAGTCTTCCATTATTGCTAGGTATTATGAGAATACCAAGTCAAGTCCTCCTTTTTAGGTCCAAACTAACATATCAATGCCATAGAAAATAGTTTGTCGGTAGAACTTTGGCATATAGCCTAATCAAGTGGTATAATTCCATGAGACAAATTCAAATAGAAATTATAAACAAAGGTCCATATAAACACAACAAATCAAAAAAAGGATGGGCCTCCAAGACAATAACAAAACAACCCAACCCGAAGGTTGAGCCCGAAAAGGAAAAGCATAGAACACAGCACAGACCAAACCCTAGTCGCTAGGTTCCCTTACCGCCGCCAAACCACGGCCCAACGACCACGAACCAACTTTCCATCATATGCTAGAAGTGAAACCCAACCAAGCCCCAACAGAAAAAAGAGAAGTCGTCATTCTCAATCAAACTCCACAAAGAACTGATATGTCGCCACCAATGGTTGAAAACCAGGAAGGATGTCAGTGGAAACCACTGACAATAGTGCCAAGACAGACACGCAAATGGAAGGTGACTGTGCGAACACCCGAGCTGAAGCTCTACGCATATTCCGATAAAGCTGTTGAATACGGGGAAACAAGGTGGAAGCAAATCAAATTGAAAGTGAAATTGAGACAGGCCGAACCCATGTGGGAGAGAAAGAAGAGGAAAACAATGGACGCGTAGAGGGGAAAGGCAGTGGGGAGAAGAATAAAACGGAGATCAGAAAAGGAAATTTCTGATCGGGGCAAGGAACGGTTAATATG